AGCGAAGAGTTGATACCTCTGAATTACAGCGTCGTTAAAGAACACTGAATACACCACAGACCACCAGGAGAACACACCAATCTGTTTGGAGGGATACAGCAGGCTTCGTAGAGAAGGATTATGACGCTTGGTAAAGTCGAGGGTCAGTGAAAGAGAGGAAGATGAGAGGATGGACGCTTGGCTCCAACAGTGGCTCCGACACAGCCAAGATGGAGCGTGTGGCCCAGGACCGGGCAGCGTTGCGTTCCGTTGTACTTAGTCCACCGAGCCCGAGCCTACCAACCCAACAACACAGCAACACACACAATGAACGGCACTTGCTTTTCTGGCCAGGATACCTGACTGCAGGGTTAATCTGTCGTGAACCACCTGGCTAAACATGTTAGTGCCTTTGGGCAGTTTTCTCACTGGACGAGGGTCACTTGTCACTCTCCTAGTTCAGGTTTATTACCGACTTAATGATTTCAGCCTCCATGCTACCAACAGCTTAGTCTGTGACGGCACCATCTCCCTCCGAGGTCCACACCACCACCCAGTCTATTGATTCAGGGCTTTGACCCTATGTTCACGGAAAGGCCAAATTCACTTAATAGTGATGGGAGGGCAGAATGTCCCCAGACATACAGTACCTGGGACCAGGCGAGGGACCAGAGTTGGGGTTCATGGGGAGCATGCTGGTATGGGCTGGCATTCCGAGGCCGGACCAGTTGTCATGGGACTGCAGCATCGATAAACAGGCAGAAGGGTTCTCAGGGTAGGCTGAGGGGTATGAGAATGTGGGGTTACTCAGAGGCGGGGGAATTCAAAGGCAAACACATGCAATGAACTACCACCAAGACCTGCCATTACCAACACTGAAAACGAACCGTGCTGTAGGATGAAAATACAGAAATCAGTCCTCCAGCCTGCTCAGTGGGTTGGGCAAAGGCAGCATCGATTGCCAAACAACTATTTGACAGTCCATTCCTGCCAACCCAGACCGCTTATCACCAGCCCAGCAGATGGCCAGCAGAAACGGGATTCTAGCATCACTGGGCTGGGATTTACAGGAATCATCCTTACAAGGAGCTGGAACCCGGGCATGCCCTCTCCCACAGGATCATTACGGGGCTGAAAGGACTTTAGAAACCGGTGCTCTGGGCGAGTGACAAAGGTCTACTTCCGAGCCTGGTCTCTGGCCAAACCCAGCCGGCACCCACTTCCCTCACCAAGTAAGCTCCTTCGTTTGAAGCCGGTTTCAACCATTCCCAATGTTTGGGGTATTTCTGCAGCCATTTCTCCCTTTGGAAGCAGGCGGAAGTCAGTCTAATCAAACACGAGGTTCGAGCATGAGGCCCGCGGGTCGAGCCCAGTGTTTGTTCCCAGCAGGTGAGTATTGCAATCCCCGAAGGGCCTGGGAGGCCACAGTGCTCAGCCTGCCCCTGCAGCCAGCGGCCCCAAGTCGACTCGGACTCAGGCTGACCCCACAGTGTGGCCTTCAGTGGCTGATGCTTTGGAAGTGGGTCACCAGGCCTTTCCTCCTTGCCACTGTAGCAGGACCCGAACTTCCAACCTTTGGGTGAGCATGTGTGCGCCTCACCTGGGACTCCAGCCCAGCCCTGGGGTCCAAGTCAGTCCCTCTAGGATGGCATTTCTCCCCAGTTCCAGCTAATGCTGGCGCTGTTGGTCCAGGCACCACCCTGGAGACCGACTGTCCAGTCAAAGCCATTACATGCCCAGCTGGTCCTACCGGGGCATTTTAGAGCATCATGAGCTGGCCAGACCTGGGTCCCACCCTGAAGGGCACGCCATGGTTCTGTCCACTTGGCAAGCTCCTGCGGTAATTCTGTCCATACCCAGCACTGGAGGCCCTGCTCTGGCCCTCCCTGTGGCTAAGCCCACCACCCACTACTTCAGCCGATGCAGTTGTTGGCTGTGTCGCGTGAACTCTGACCCCCGGCCACCCAGTGCTCACAGCAGGACTGCAGCACGGGGTTCTCAAGGCCGTGGCGGCCGTCTCCCGAACCTCCTGTGCGCGGACTCCAACAGCCCACCTTCCGGTCAGCAGTGAGCGCTGGACTGCACGCACCCCCCACAAACTCCAGGTGCCCTCCCCTCACCCAGCCCCGGCACCCCCAAAGCCCTGGGGACCCAGGCTCGGACTTACTTGGAGAACTGCTGTGGTGCGTGTACGGGCTGGGGTAGGGGGACGCACGGTGGCTCCTCAGGGTGGGGTACCGTTCACAGCTGTGGGTGGAGGGCAGCGAGAGGGGACCTCCAAACTGAGGGTGAGGGCTGGCGGGTGGGCAGAGGGAGCTGGTTCCGGGGAGAAGCCACCCCCCTGCTGTGAGGAAAGAATGCCGAGTGACTGGTATCTGTGGTCCAGTGACGTTCAAGGAGGGAAGAGTGGAGACCAGAGGCCTCGGGGCCGCTTCCTAGAGTCGGACGAAGGGAGGCACGCGTGGCCTCCGGCTGCCTAAGCACTCGGTCCGGGAGCCTTCCGGCGCCCTAAGGCGGGACCAGCTGCACAGCTGCTCCACGGGTGCCACAGCCGCTGTGCGACCCACAGGACCCCCAGACCCATCGAGCTTCCTCAGAAACCACTCGCCGTCAGGCCAATGGAGACGCGCGGAGACCCGTGGCTCAGAGCACAGCTGTGCTCCACGGGGCCTCAGCGCGGATTTTCTGGGGGGGGGACGGCCAGGCCTCTCAGCACCGGCGGGTGCGCTCAGACCTCCAGCCTTTCGGTTGGCATCTGGGTACTACCCGGGGCTTCCCAAGCTCTGCTAGCGGAATAGTCCCAAACCCTCAGGCGACTTACGGTTTCCCCAAGGCAGGCAGCCTCGGGTCCTAACCACTGAGCATGAACAGAAAGTTTAAGCGGACCGAGAGCACAGAGCATCAAACAAGGCAGAGGCCAGGGTAGGGGTCTGACTCCAGGGTGAGCCGTTCCCCCTCCTCCCCTTCCCTGTCTCCTACTGCCCAAGCCCAGGGGCTGGGGACCCACCGCCTCCTCAGCCCTTTCTCCTGGTCTAGGCTCCCCACAGCACGCATGTCAGAGAACCCTTCTCAAGATGGACTCCACCTCCTCCAACGTGCCGCTCAGAAAGGCAACTACTCGGGCTCCCCGTGACAGTTCTTCCAACACCCCCCCCCACTTCAGCCCACGTGCGGCCCTGTCACCGGCCACCCTGTCTGTGTTCCACTTCACGTGGGTGTAGCACCCTCAGCCACTTTTAAGCAGAGCTGTTTGCTGTAGCCACAAATGGATTTTAAAAAAACACACCATGAAACCTCTGCAAGCCGGAACATGTGTAAGGCAGAACCCATCGGAGAAGGAAAGCCCCAAATTTCCCACTAGAGAGTGACAGAAAAGTGGCAAGACGGCCTCCTATGCAAGACGGGAACCTGGCGAGACCCAGCCAAACAAGGCCGCCCTGCCAAGTTCCGGTTCTGAGAGGCTCCCGGCATCTCAGAACAGAGATCATAGAACAGGTGGAGGAGGCCGTGCTGGTCAACCAGAGCCTTGCCTGATTGATCAGCATCAACTCTCCCGCCCCGACTACTTTAAACCTCAAAGTCCTTTCTGCAGGCAGAGAAGGGCCGCTCACAGCAGTCCCTCGCACCCCTGACCGCACCCCTGACCGCTCTGGAGGCTCCTGTTGCTTTGCCCTGGTCTCGTGAGACTCCCAAGAGGAGCTGGACTGGAAGCCGGCTTCTCATCCTACAAGCCACTGTTTCCACCATAGTTAACCAGAGTTGACAGGCCATTCCAAGACCCACACTTGTTCATGAACGCCACACCCCAAAGATGGCCATTCAGTTTTCAAGCACTAACCCAGAGAGTGCCCCACAGAGGATACTGTAAGCTGGCTTCTCTGTGTCGTCCAATACAGAGTCATCAACACCCACCAATGTCTTGAGGGTCCATCCTTGCCATTGGGGTGAGTGCTGCCTCTGAACACAGCAAGGGCCCGGGTGCGTCCCCCCGCCTTACGTCAAGAGTCCCCTGGGCTGGGCAAGCACCCACGGCCCTATCAGAGCCGGGGGCCAAGATCGGTGGCAGCTTCCAAGCTGTGGTGCCGTGCGGCCTGCACAGAAATGCAGCCCCACTCCCCAGCCCCCCAGGAGTTCACGGACCCCTCCACCTGCAGCCTCTAGCTAGTGCTGACACGAGGAGGAACAAACCGTACACTGAGAATACCCGGACTGCTGGTTGTCGCCGCGCTCTTCCATGACGTCTTTGTGGTCGCTTCTGTCAACAAGAGAATGTCGAGTTGTCAAAACAAGAAAACTCAGACAACCGTATCTGCAGCTACGTGTCATCTTTCTGCACACGTCTGTCCAGAAGGCACCGTCAGAATCACCTCACCTTTCCTTGGCGTCAAGGAAAGCTTTTGCAAACGGATTGTACTTAATCTTAAGAGCTGTGATCTGAAAAACAAGAGATTGCATTCACTAGTGCAGTTCTCCGTGATGGGCACCCAACACTGAGACACCTCGGTCCTCTTTACTACGAAACACGGTCAAGACTTCCTGTCAGATCTTTCTTTCCGGCTCTGAAGTGGCTGAGGAATTTTAATATTTAACAAGGAAGTGGACGTGTATAGTCATGAAAAGTTTTTAAGTGCCAATTTCCTAAATAAGATTCACAATCAGCTTACCCAATACAGAACAGACTATTCTATGTTCATAAATTAAAAATGACAAAAACATAACCTGGGTCTTCAGAGTAAATAGATCCACTGGTTCTAGTCAGTGGTGAACTCACACCTGGCCGGCTCATCACAAGCTTTACACCATGGGGGCAGAGTCAGACACAGATTTACTGCTACCGAATCCAGTATGAAGAAGCTCTGGTGGCGAATGCCTAAGGCATTTGACTGCTAACAAGAAGGCTGGAGGTTCAAACCACTCCACAGAAGGAAGATGGGGCAATCTACTTCCATCACCTTGGAAACCCATTGGAATCGACTTGCCGGCAGCTTGTTTTTCCTTTTAAACAGTGTTGTGCAAATCTGCTGCAGAAACCTCTTTCAAGTGTTAAAGGGCAAAGACGTCACTTGAAGGACAACAGTGTTTTCAGTCACCTCACACACGTGCGAAAGCGGGGCAATAGATAAGGAAAACCACCAAAGAACGATTTCTTTGAACTGTAACTCACTGCCGTGGAGTCGGATCCAACTCATAGCAACCCCTCCTTGCGTTTCTGAGGCAGTATCACTATGGAAGTAGACTGCCCAATCTTCCCTCCTGAGTGGCTGGTGGGTTTGAACCACCAGCCTTCTGGTTAGCAGTCAAGTGCCTTAGGCACTACGCCACCAGAGCCCCCCCTTTGAACTACAGTGCTGGTGAAGAATACTGAAAATACCATGGACTGCCAGAGCGCTCAAACCTGCCTTGGACAAAGGACAGCCAGCATGTTCCTTGGGAGTGAGGATGGTGAGCCCTTGTCTCAAGGACCTTGGCCATTTTACCAAGAAGGACCAACCCCTGGAGAAGGACATCATGCTTGGTAAACTCGAGGGTCAGCAGAGAGGGGAAGACCCTTAAGGGGATGGACTGACAGAGGCTGCACAATGGGCTCAAACCGAGCGACCACGGGAGGCTGGCAGAGGTCAGCGTTTCCTTCCGGGGCATGGGGTCCAGTCAGAACCGAGTCCGTGGGGGCTAAAGCCGCTGGCTGCCGGAGCAGCGTTGTATCTAGCCAAGGCCTCACATTACAGGGCTTTGAAGTTGGCTATCCCTTCGGGGAAAATTTTCAAAGTCAACAGAAGCCCTTCTCTTACTCAGAGCCTTGTTTGAGCATTTTCACAGATACTTAATGTCAATGTTTTGTGGTTGGTGTTAATTGAGCATTTACTTCAAGCACTTAGTAGAAACGCTTATTAATCCAGAGTTCATTCCACGTAAAGGAAATGCTAGAATTAAGGCCTATTTTAACCTCCAGTCAGCATATTGTCTCAAACAGGCTTTCAACATGATTCTTACGCACATCCTCCAGGTCCCCTGCTCTGCCCACTTCTGTCCCAGCTCCAGAGACCAGCGCAGCACTCCCCTCACCTCCTCGTTCTGATACGCGGTCACAGCGATGAACTGGGTCTCCGGAAAGCAGTGGCTGGTGATCATACGCTGGGGACCCCCGACCCTCACGATGTGAATCCGCGGCTCGTACTTATGCAAGGAGTTCAGCATGATCTGGGGACACAGACAGATGTGGCATCAGTCCCACCATGAAAAGGGAGAGCCTCCTTTGTCCTGCTGTCCAAGAGAAACACGCTCAAGCTGGGGGACTTCGTGATGGCAGGAAGGTGTATTGACACTTACCGCGTCCCTGACTCATTTGCAAACACACACTCATTTGAATGCCCACCACTGAACCCCTTTGACCTGACAGAAGGATGCCCAGCTTTCAGCCACAGCTATAGGAAGGACCCTTTACAACAGCTGGGTCTGGTTGCGGCTGGACATGGGTCTTAGCAGTAACAAGACAGCAACTAAAAGAGGTTCTTTAGAAAACGATTCCTTCAGAAGTTCGTTCAGAGGGTACACAGGAAATACTGCAGCCCACGGTTAACTCTGAAGGGATGCTGGCCCTCAAGGCTAGTTAGTGTCCGGTGCGCGCTCTGGAGAGCTCAGGGTGGCGCGCGCCCAATTCCAAGACCACACCCGAGTTTGAGACCTGGTGTGCCTTCAAAGGTGAGACCCTCTCCCCTCCACTCCTTCGGCCATCGGGGCACTAAGTCGGGAAGCTGCGGCACTTCATGGAGCGCGCTGTCACTGCTAGAAATCAGCCCCTCTCCTTCCAGCTCCCGCGCCCCTGCGCAGTAGTCCGGGTGCGGACATTCGGCCTCCCCGCGCCCCTGCCCGGACGCTGCGGGCTCCCCTGCGCCTACCTGGCCACCGCCATTGAGCTTGTTGGTGAGTTTGACTTTGTTGAAGGAGACAGGAGCCTTCATCCAGTGCGCCCCGAAGTTGGGGGAGTCGGGGTGGATGTAGACGCAGCTGGGCGCCTGCGGCTCGGGCTTGCCGCCGGGCACCCACTCGCCGTTCACGTACTTCCAGCGGTGGTTGTCCGCCGTCACGAAGTCCAGGAGGAACGAGTACATGGCGTTGGGGTCCAGGCCGGACACGTTCACCTTCAGCACCGGGAACATCCTCCTGCAAGGAGAGCAGAGGGCGCGGCGGGAGAACCCCGGGCCGCGAAACTCGGGGCAGAGGCCTTCGTCAATTCGGGGGCTTGGAAAGGGAATTCGACTCCTAAACTCCCTTCCCGGAGCGCTCGTGGGCCCCAAGCCCCAGCGGCCTCAGGACAAGCCCCTGGAGAGGACCGGACCAGGCGAGGGGCAAGCATGAGGCCGAGGGCGCGGCGCAGGGCCACAGAGGTCGGGCCCAGGGATTCTGGTCGCTCCCTTACGGAGAAAGTTCCAGAAGGAGCCACACGGCGTTCCCCCCACACACCCCCCAAACAGACACAAGGAGACCCCCTTGTCTCCAGGTGAGAAACTGTTTAACAGTAGACACCGTCCCGGGCTCCCAGGGGCCAGGCCGCGCGCCCGCGCGGAGATCCGAGCCCGGAGGCCGGCGCGCCCACCTGCCGTTCTTGGTGACGATCATCTCGTTGGTAAGCTCCTTGAAGCGAAGCCACAGGTCGCTCTCCTCCAGGCCCACGCGCAGCTCGCGCTCGGTGGGGTCGCCCTTCTCGCTGCCGGCCTGCAGCTCGCTCTCCACGGCGCTCAGAAGGTGGTCCACTCGGTACTGCAGGCTCTTCCCCGCGCTCTCGGCGCCCGGGGAGCCCATCCTGTCGCCCGCCCGCCCCTCCCCGGAGCCCCGACGGCGCTACCCGAGAGCCACCTTCGCCCCTTTCTCGGCCGCCTCTCTACCGAAAAGGGGGCCCCGCTTCGGCCGCGGGCTGTCCGGCTCCCGGGTGCCAGCGCTGCCCCGGGAAAGGGCGACGACGACGGAGACACGGAGGAAGCCGGGGAAGGGGCGAGAGCTGTTCCACTTGAACTCCTGCGAGGCAGCCGCGGCGAGGTCTCTGCTGAGAAAAAGCAGCGACCCCCGCCCTAAATAGCGCGGGCGGGCGGCGGAGGCGCGGGGTTGGGCCTGGGCCCTTTGAAGCGCCGGGCGGCTGCCCATTGGCCGCGCGCGGCCACATCAGACCCGGCGGCCGCCAACAATGCGCCCCCGCTGCCGGGGCATGCAAATCGGCCGGGTCTGCGCGCCCGGCCCTACACCCCCGCCCCCCAGCTGTTTGCACCTTCATCAAAGCGGCGGCCGGGCCCCTCCCTCCCGGCCCAGGTCCGCCCCCAGCACGTCGGCCCGCCGGGGACCCCTAGCTCCTGCGCCCCGGGAGCCCTGCGGTTCCGCTTGGCCCAGCCGGCCCGGGCGCTCTGAAGGCAAGAGCCTCTAGGTGCAGCACTTTGCTGCACGCCTCTCCGACCCGGTGCGCAGCCCTGGGCGCTAACACACCCACGCTATTGAACCACCCTTTTAGACCGGGATGTTGGCGCTCTGTCCTCTGCGCGACTTCCCGGCGCCCACAGGGAAGGCGACAGAAAAGAACGCTCGTGGGTGTGTTCTTGCCGGGGGGCCACTCTGAGAAGCTGCCCGGGGGTGCGCTTGGCCCCAGAAGTTTTGCGTCCATTTAGAGGGAGGCTGCAGGGTGTCAGGGGGCAGGTGTCAGGGCCTTGGGCCTCTCGGAGCGGCTCGGAGCGCCTCGAAGGGCAGGGCTGTCTCCGTGCGCCCGCGCTGCGCCTGCGAGCTGCGGTTTATTGCCCTCCGGTGCGAACCCCGGCGACGCGAGCTAAGGGAAGGTGACAATGGGCAGGAAATAGTTCCATGGGGGCTCTTTCAACTCAACATTCCTCTGAAAAACCGGAGCGGGAAAGGGGACGGCCGGCTGCGCTCCGCGTCCAGACCCGCTGGATCGCCGCGGACCACTTGCGCGCACCCCACCGCGCGCCCTCGGGAACCAGCCGAGGCCTCGGGCTGCGCGCCCCCCACTTGTCGTCCGGCCCGCATGGGCCCGGCTGCTCCGGGATGGGGACTCCGGGCCCGGACGCGGGCTTGCGCTTGCGGGAGAGAGGCGCCCGAGGGGACGCCGGGCGCCCAGCGGGGAGGAGAACGCGCCGAGGTCCTTTTCCGCCCCCAGCCCACTGCAAGCGCTGCATCTGGTTGCCCAGGCACCTGACGGCTCGTTTGCGCCCACATCTCTGTTTCTTTTGTTGTCTCTGGCGGTGGGAATTCCCGGGGGCCGACCCGAGGGGGACACTTCCTTCTGCAAAAAGGCACCAAAAGGTCCTGATTTGCTCGTGACGCCGGGACCCTCCTGGGCCGCCTCCGCCGGTTTCCGGCCGCGGGCTTTGTGACACTCCCCTTACTGAGGGGATGAAACGAGTCTGAAGGTAATTTCGGTGGCCTAAGATCCTGCGCCTCGGCACTTAGAGCGCAGAGGGGGTGGGGCCCGGCCCTGCGCGCACCCCGAGCCCCGCAGGGGCGCTCCCGCAGCCCCCCGACAGAGCCCGCCGCCGGAGCTGTGTGCGCGGGTGGACGGCTTTCCTTTGGTTCCGAAGCACTGATGAAGTGTTGCCGGGCTGAGCACAGGGTCTGAAAAGTGCGCCTCTGATTTCCCCCAATAAAAACAAAACCTAGCAGAAAAGAAGGGTCAGTTTCAAATGCGCACGAGGAAATTTCTCCACCCCAGAAGGAACGGCCCAGGATTGAAGAACACGACCCCAGAAAGGGAGCCGGCAGGAGTAGGGGCAGTGGGAGCCTGGAAGGATTGACTGGGGCCCTGCGTCGTGGGGGTGGCCTGTCTGTTGCTGCGTAACTAGGTTCTTCTTTCCTCTCGTGCCTGGTACTGCCTCTTTGTCCCTGTTCTCAGAGCAGGGCTGTCCACCGGCCCGGCGTCCGCAAGCAAGGCTGCAGGCAGGGCACTTTACAGCTAGAGACTTCCTCCGGCCCAGCTGTAAAGCGCTCCGTTAACGAGCGGGGAGGAGGGGCTGGGGCACTTCCAGCTGTTTCTCTCCCCCCGCCGCTGGGTCCGCGGGGTGTCAGCCACTCAGAGGGCCAAGAGGAGGAGCAGGAGCCGGGCCTTGAAATGCCACCGTCGCCAAAAGTGACTTAGGAAACACTTTACAAGGAAGAACACATCCTCAATTCAGAGCGCAGGTCCTGACCCCTTGGCAGCCACAAAACCATCTGCCTTTTGGGAGCAGGTGTGGGTGGGGCCGAACAGGCTCAAGGCCAGCTGGAGAGGTCAGGGGGCGCGACCCCAGGGCCAGAGGGATGCCCTTCACCCAGTCCTGTTTCCTTCTGTTGCGAAGAAAAAGATGTCTTCGCTGACTGCTCATGCTGCGCTCCTGTCTGTGGAATGTAGGTTACACACAAATGCGTGGGTCAGCATGAATGGATTGGGCAGTGAGGTGACATGTGTGTATACATGCATGTGTGTGTATTTCTCT